AGGGCCTCCCTGACCTGGAACTCACTATGTAGACCAGGCAGGCCTTGAACTCACAGAGATCCACCTGCCTCTGACTCCCAAGTGCTGGAATTAAAGGCATGCGCCACCACGCCTGGCTCTCTAGTCCCCTTTTAAATATTTTAAAAAATTTTATGTGTATGCCAGACATGGTGGCACATGCCTTTGGTCCCAGTACTTGGGAGGCAGAGGCAGGTGGATCTCTGTGAGTTCGAGGCCAGCCTGTTCTACATAGTGAGCTCCAGGACAGCTGGGGCCACAGGAAGACCCGGCCTCAAAAAGACCAAAAAAAAAAAAAATAGTTATGTGTATGAGTGTTTGCCTTCAGGTATATATGTGCCTGATGCAAGTGGAGACCTGAAGAGGGCTTTCAATCCCCAGGAACTGGAGTGAAAGATGATTGTGAGCTGTCATGTGGGTGTTGGGAACGGAACTGGAGTCCTGACCGAATTGGAGTCTTCTGTAAGAGCAGCAACTGCTTTTAAGGGTCCAGTCATTTCTCCAGCTCCTTGACCTTTTTGAAGCTTGTCAAGTAGCCCTGCATCTTCTGAGCTGGCCACTGTGACACCAGAGCTGCTAGTGACTCGTATTAAGCTAGGTTCTCCCTGCCCCTCCTTTGTGATGTGAGCAAAGACAGGGCAGAACAAGGCTGCTCAGTAGCAATGCAGATACAGGAGACTCCTCCAAGGAGAGAGGGAGGCCTTTCTCGAGGAATGTGAAGAGGACTCAGGCCAGAGCAGGGCAACTTAACTGTAGGTTGACAGCTTACTGAATCCTTTGAATGAGAACTTTCTCAAGAATCAGAATTTTTCCTAAGTTCCTCAGGAGAACTGCCCCTCGTTAGAGACCTGCAGACACAGGCTACATATAGGCAAATGCTAAAGTAGGACTGTCCAGGCCATACTACCTCTACCCCACCCCTATCCTCATCCTTCCCTCGTCCGCCCTGTAGGCGGAGCAAATGTGTTGCCCAGCTACAACTCCAAACAGCCCTGGAGAGCAGGGTTGACGCTGAGGGGTGGGAAGCTGCACTGCCAACAGACGGTCTGGGTATTCTGGGAAGAACCCCCCAAAAGGAGCAACTCTTATGGGTCAAAGTTTAAGGTAGCTTGTGTGCCACTTCCAGGATGCCGGGATGGAGACAGTAATGCGAGGAATGCCTTTGGAGTATGGTCCTAAACCAGAGCGCCTCAATGCCTACGGTAAAGGGTGGTGAGGAGAACGATACTGAGCTGGAAGAGGGGAGGCCAGACCGTGGGGTAAGGCTGTGGGCAACAGGCGCAAGCCCAGGAACCTAGAGAGAGTGTGTAACTATGTCTCTCTGTGTCTGTTTTTGTCTCTGCCTTTCCCCATCCCTCTGTCTTTGGATATCCTGGGCTCTGGGCTCAGAGCGCGAAGTAGTGGTGACATGCTGAACTCGCTGTCCCAGAACCGGACGCTGCCACAGATCGCACCCCGTTACGGGTGCGAGGACCCTCTGCCCCGCCGCCTGCCATTCCACGGTTACGATAGTGCTTGCTCCCGCCGCCACTACTGTCTGCGCGTGATGGACTACTGCACCACCGGGGAGCCTTGCAGCGAACTCTGCAGGCGACCTTTGTGCTCTGAGCAGCCGACTGTAAGGTTCGCCGGGATCCACCGGCCTCTGCCGGGCTCCAACCTCAAACGAGCCCCGCCCCCTAAGTTCCCTCCATACCGCCGAATTTCTAGTACTGTTCAGTTTCCGTGCCAGGTCCCCACCGGCCTCTGCCTGCTTACAGGGCCAGGCTGGGTGCCCCAGGACACAAGCGAAAAGCCAAAGCCAAGAACCAGCAGGAAGGTTACTCTAAGTCCTCCATCCTGTTCCTTCCAACTGTGCTAAAGGCCAACCTGGCAATTATGCAGGAAGTCCTGCAGGAAGGTTTTAGAAGATTCCAAACCCCGCACATCAGTCGCATCCTTTTTCCACACTCAACAGCCCCAGCCCCCCTATCTGGACACTTGGCTCTAGAGTCAGGTTCTAGCCTGAAGAATGTTCTCTGTGCCTGGGCGTGGGGTGGGGGTAAGTAGTAGGAGGGTCATTGCTGGGGGCGAGGAAGTGGTGGCCACCTTTCCCTGGGCTTCCTGAGTCCTGCACCAGCAGGACCTTGAGTGTTACAGCTAAGAGCACTGACCCACCTAGCATTAGTCCAGCATTCAGCCACAGAAGGAAAGAGCATGGGGGAAAGACAGCTTAGAGATCCTGAACTGTGTTTCTAATTCCATGGTGATCCCCTGCCCTTCCTCCGGTCTGATTCATTGTCAAAGACTGCACCTTCCCCCTCAGAAGGGCATGGGGATGTGAAAAAGTGTCTGAGCTTCTAGGAAGTTTAGAAAAACTTGGTGTATGGTGGTGGAGGAGGCCAGGGTAGGTGGATCTCTGTGAGTTTAAGGCTAGCCTGGTCTACATAAGGAGTTTCAGGCTAGCCAAGGCTACAGGGCTATATAGTGACCTGTCTCCAGAAGAAGAAAAAGGAGGAGGAGGAGGAAGAGGAGGAGGAGGAGGAGAGGAAGGAAGGAAGGAGAGGAGAGGAGAAGGAGAGGAGAGGAGAGGAGAGGAGGAAGAGGAGGAGGTGAGGAGGAGGAGGAAGAAGAGGAAGACGAGAAGAAGGAATGCTGCCTACTTAGTATTGCAGAAATTGCTGTCCTACAGAGTCAGGATAGGGGCGGGGAGTATTCCCAGGTCCTCAGTGACTGTGATCATCTCTAGAATCCTACAAGCTCTGGTAGTAGAAACCAGGCCTTGGAGGAGAGGAGACTTCCAGGGGCCTTCCCAGAGGTGGTCTGCAGTGAGATCTTGAAGAGCAAGGAAGGAGGGGAGAATCCAGGAAGATAAAACTGATACCTGAAGCTCTGTCCAAGTTCTTGGTATGAAGTGTTGGTATATGAGGGTATTAAAAAACCCAACCTCTTCCTTGTTGATCTCTCCCTCAACCAGGAATGCCTTGCCCTATGATCACCGGCCGGAAATGCAATATGCAGTTACAACTCTCCTGCCATTGTACTACCCATTTCCCAACCTTAGGTAAGTTGGGCACAGAAGCATCCACTTGCACAACGGAGGCTGTGTCTCTAGCTCAGAGGAGAGTGGGTGGGATAAGCTGGGGTGGGAAAACTGTTGTGATGTAGCAACAGGAAGTTGCCACCAGGGGGCGCTAGTGCCATGGGGCCATGAACGTTGGCAAGAGACTGGAAGCTGGTAGAAGGCAAAGAGGCCAGTATTGACTTAATTGGGTTTGGGGTTTGATGTAAAGGGTAAGAAGGCAAGGTTGGGAAGTATGTATCAGGTATCAGAAATTTAACAGTAGAACCTGAAGTCAGTGTTGTTGGTCAGTGTCAAAGGCAAAATGCTGGGATAAGTTTTAATACCAAGAATTGGAGTTGGACCTTCATTTTTGACAGATGAAGATCCAAAAGGGCTGACTCATCTTTTTGCAGATGGGACACACGTCACTTCAAGAAGACTGGTGGTCCCCAGAGAAACAACTATGTTGTCCATCCTGAGTTTGTGTCTGAGACCTATCCTGTCTACCATTTGTGATAAAGCCTTGGCCAGGCCAAGGGAGCGAAGCAATAAACTCTTCACCATAAAGACTGCCTGCTGTGTCCTTACCTAGCAAGACCTAGAAGGGAATCCTTTACCATTATCTCATCCATGAGTATGCTCCTGACATAATCCTACATCCAGCTGGTGTCCTCCCCCACTTCATTTCAGAGACTAAAGTGATAAATCCATGTAATCACGCAGACCCATCTACTTCCCATTCTAATGAAGATCCTCAAAATTTCCCCCACATACCTAGATTCTTCTCACATCTCAGGGAACTCAAGAATCCTTCCTTCTACAGTGAAAACCATGTTCTTTCTACACCCAAAACTCTAGCTCCCTGCTACCAGTCTCCATTACAGCCTTCCAAATTTGCTTTCTGTGCTCAGACCCCTTTGCTGTCTTCCCCCATCTAAGTCTAAGAGATCCAGAACATTAATTTGGGGAAGGAATAAAGACCAAGAAATTTCAAATTGTGAAAAAATTCTCTGTTCCTTGAGACTGATGGGTGAGGTAGAACAATTTTTAGTATCCTTTCTCCATTATAGATCTAAAACTTCCTGATCACTTCAGGGAAGGGTGTGGAAGGGCACATCAATCTCTGCAACACAGTCATTTCTAATAAAGATCGTCACTGAGAAGGTGCTATATGCCATACAGATAATTAGTCAGGGTGTGGGTGTGGGTATTTTTAAATGCTGAACAGACTGGTGTGGTGGTGCATGCCTTTAGTGCCAGCACTTGGAAGGCAGAGGCAGGCAGAGCTCTGTAAGTTCAAGGCCAGCCTGGTCTACATAGTGAGTTCCAGGCCAGCTGGGGCTACAGGGAAAACCTGTCTCAAAAAGACAAAAAATGCTGAGCAGAAAGCAGTCATCTCAGTCTCTGATCTCGGACACTGCTAGTCTACCCCATAAGAACTGACCATTTAGAACTCCTGCTGTTTGGGTGTACAAGCTCCCTCCGTGGTAGAGCTCTTGATTGGGGAATTAGCTGTAGGCAGCTTTATTCAGGTATCACAGCAAAGGGCAGGAGCCTTTCCGAGGGAAGAGAGCATCTGCAACCAAGGAAAAGGGGTTTGGGGGTTTTATATGAATTCTACTGAACACAGCTGCAGGAGTTTACTGGGTGCCAGAGTCTGGTATCCTTGGGTGATTGAAGGTCTTCCAAGATTTTTCTCAGGCAGGGCAACTGTGTAATCTAGGGCACTAAAGGGAAAAGGTTGGCTCCACAAACAGTCTCCTTCAGTCCTGGGACCAGTTAATAAAGCTTGAGCAAGGTCAGCCTGTCAATTTAGGGCCAGTTGCCCACTTTAGGGGATTTATGGCTTTATAGCTTCCTTAATGAGGCTTACGGCTCTCCTGCAATTTACACATTCCATCAAAGAGAAACCTGAGAGCCCTCAGCTGTCTGAACCTAGATGGGAAGGAATTCCAAAGACCAGCCCTGCCCAACTCACCTTGTGGTGCACTCAAACACAGAGCAAATCTAGCCAAAGATGTAAGAACATTCTGCAACCTTTTCCTGCTCCGGAACTACATTTCCCATAAGACCTGGGAACAAGCCCCACCAGTTCGCAAGAAAGCAAAGGCCCAGCAAAGGCGGATCCTCAGGCCGAAGATGGAGCCACGAGGCACCAGGTTACCACGAGCCTAAGATATCAGGGATCCAGGTAGGAAGGTGAAAAGAAACTAGGGGTCGGAGACCGAGGTTCGGATCCGCGTGAGGCTGGGGGGAAGGACTGCGTGCCAGGGGCGGGGCTGGAGTACGAGCCCTGAAGCCACATTGGACAGCTGGGCGGGGCCCGGTCCCCGAGGGCGGGGCCCAGGAGCGGTTCAGCTGTGCGGGTCTAGCAGCGCCAAGCCGCACCTGGCCCCGCAGTGGGAGCTCAGCCGGGCCAGCGTGGAGAGGACCTGCAGGATTATTCCTTCCCCCGGTTTCTGTCTGGTGGTCATTACGGTGAGTGAGCCCACTGGAAGACCTTTGGGGCGGAGGGGGTGGCGCGCTGCTGAGGGAGCACTATTCCCGAACTTTCGTTCCAATGAGTAGGTGGAGCAACCCTGGACCCCTGGGCCCCTGGGCCCCTCCTCGACCGGTTCCTCGGCCTTCGTCTGCCCCTTTGGACCCTGTAGCTGTCGGGTGGGGAGTCACGAGGGAGTGTGGAGGAAGGATTCCAGGCTGTGTAGGCGCAGTCATTCGATCCTCGTGGATCCTGTCCCTGGGCGGGGAAGGGAGATGGGCAGGATCGAATTGCCTTTAACATTTCCACCCTCCTCCCAACTGCGTCCGACTAACGACTCTGCTCGGAATGGCTCAGTTGAGCTGAGCTGGGCCCAAGGGGCTGGCAGCCAAGACTGAGGGTGAGCGAGGAGCCAGCGGGACTAGGCTTCTCCGGGCTGAGCCTCCGAAGGCCCGCCTCTTGGACCCCACCTGCTCGCTTTAGCCTGTGGTTGGCCAGATGGCAGACGCGACAGATTATAGGGGTCTCTAACGCCATTAACACAGGAACCACGGAGTTCCTTCCTACAGCTGTGGTACCAGATGCTATTAAAATTGCCCCTTTCCTACCCCTAAAATCTTCCTGGTCTGCCTGGGGCAAGAAGCAGCATCAGGCGACCTCGAAAAGACAGGCTTCACCAGCTCACACCCATTTCATGGAAGGAAGCCTGTCCCACCCTCTGAGCTACACAGCTTCTGCATCTGCCTACAGTAGACCTTGATCTTCCATAGTTGTGGAGGGTTGGAGGTAGGATTTTGGACCCAAGCAAACTTGCTTTCTGGATGACCAGACAAGCTCTTCTCTTCTGTTTGGACCAGATGTTTCCCCATCTGTAAAATGGACACTATAACTATCTCTGCTGCTCCACACAGTCACTGCATTTGGGGGCAGTTGATTCAGTGCTGCCCCAACAAACTGGGTGCCTAGATCTGTAGGATCCTGTCCATCTAAAAATTGATTCTCAGAGTCCAACTGTTGGAAAGGACTTTTAAGGCCATCAAGGTAGCCTCTTACTGCCTCCTGGAGGCATAAGGCCAACTTAATATATAAGTTTTGAGGATAAGGGAGTCTCTGTCCTTTTATCCTTTAGTACCCAGAATGCATCCTTGGTTGTCTTGAATGAATGAATATGCATACACAGTATATCAGACTTGGGCCCCTAAAGTCTTCCACTTAGCTTTAAGGGTCTCAGTAAAGGCCATTGCCTGCATTATCTAGAAGGGCTCTTCTACCTAAGGAAGGTGGGGGAAGCAAAGTTGTGTGGGCTGAGAGGAAGTGCATAGAGGTTGTTCCAGACTGGAGATGGGGGGCTATGACTGAGAGATTACAGAGTTGTAGGGAGAATCCATCTTGCAGGAAGGGATAAGTGAGGTGCTATGTATTCTTTCTAGGATCAAAATTCTGATCTGCTCTTGATAAATTCTGCAGTGGGGGAGCTGGAGGTATGGAAGAACCTGAGTAGTTTCAGCATCTCCTGTAAGTCACTGGAGACAGAGACAAACACTGGCATCTGGGAAAAGACTAATTACTGTCTGCTAGTCTCCCTCTCTTCTTCCCTCCAGCTGGGGAGCTGTTAGGCAGCTGGCTGGCTGGAAGTGTGCCTGCCTGTGTGTACACCTGGCAGATGCCATTTCTTTGTTTTGGACTCTGCCCTGACCTGAGGGTTGAGGCAGGAAAAGTCAGTGGCCTTCAGTAGCAAGTTGAGACATAACTTCCTCTGAAGTCTAAGTTTTCCTGCAGATATATTTGAATGTTTAGCATACCTTATGGGAACATTTACATGTGCTGTAGTAGGCCTCTGATCTCTGGAGAGCTGGTAGGTGGTAGAAAGGTTATCAAACTAGGTGAGTGAAATCTCCTGAAGCAGATGGCCTGAGAATTTAAAGTGAAGAAGGAATGAACTTGGTAGCCACAAGATAGGCCTGGCAGGAAACAGAATCAGAAAAGCAGCTGAGGCCTGGTATGTATGTATGTATGTATGGTGTATGCCTGTAATCCCAGCTACTCAGAGGTTGAGGTAGGACAATCACAAGTTCAGGACCACCTTCTCAAACTGCATAAAAACACAATCATGTATTAAGCCTTGGTTGCAAAACCTGCACTTTTTTTTTTTAAAGACATGATCCTAGCCAGGTATGGTGGTACATGCCTTTAGTCCCAGCACTTGGGAGGCAGAGGCAGGTGGATCTCTGTGAGTTCGAGGCTAGCATGGTCTACACAGTGAGTTCTAGGCCAGCTGGGGCTACAGGGAGACCCTGTCTCCAAAACACCAAAAAAAAAAAGACAGGACCCTGCTATGTAGGCCAGGCTGACCTGGTAGCCCAGTTGCCTTGGACTTGCAATTTTCCTGCCTCAGTTTCCCTAGTTCTGGGATTATAGACATGCATCACCATGCCTAGCAGATGCAAAGCTTATACAACAGAGGCTCATTAGCACCTCTCCAAGTTATGGATGGATGTGGTTTGGTAAGTGCTTTAAGAAAATCACTGTGGTTGATATTAACATAAGGAATTGGAAAGAAAGGAGTTGGAGGCTAGGAGACCTAGTGGGGAAATGCCACAGTAGTACAGGGGAAAGTGACATTGCTGAAACTAGAGCCAAGGCAGATTGCTAAGTGAACAGTAGAAACAGAGCTAAGAAGTACATCATGCTGGGAGCAGAGAAAGATGTTCAGCAGAGAAATGAATTTGGCAGTTAATGGCTTAGCGGCAGGTAGAGTTTGAGGACAAAGAGGGCATGGTGGCCCACACCTTTAATCTCAGAGGTAGGCGGATCTCTGTGAGATTGGAGCTGGCCTGGTCCTTTTAGTGACTGTGAGCTCCAGGCCAGCTGGGACTACAAGGAGACCCTGTCTCAAAAAGACCAAAAAAAAAAGGGGGGGGGTGTAGATTTGAGAAGCAGGATCTTTTGCCAGGCTCTGACCCCAGCCCTGATATTAGACCCCAGTCCTACTGTGAATGTGGCTTTGGGTGTCTTTAATTTTCAGATTCTATCTGGCTTGATGCAAAATCAAATTCCATGACTGAGCTGTTCCCTTTCCTCTTATCCTTGCTTCTCTGGAGACAGGGAAGCCAGCCTACCAACCAGCTAAAAGTCCAAGGAACTGGCTGGACCATTCACCCTCTCTTACCTCTAGTAGAGTAGGCCTTTCCTTTTGTTTTATTTTATTTTATTTTTGGTCTTTTTTTTTTTTTTTTTTTTTTTTTGAGGCAGGGTCTCCCTGTACCCCCAGCTGGCCTGGAACTTGCTATGTAGATTAAGATGGCCTCGAACTCAGAGATCTGCCTGCCTCTGACTCCGGAGTGCTGCGCCTTTTGGGCCACCACCCTGGAGGCCTTTTCTTCTTTGGCCTTTCCTTCTTTACCAGGTATTACATAGATTTGCCCTGGGACTGGCAAACTAGATTGGCAAGCTGTAGACACGCCTCCTTCCCAAGCTTGGTTGCTCCTGTTTGCTTAGGATTATAAACTTGACTGTGGACCTTCTGCGAGAAAAGGAGGGGCAGGGGGAAGTCAGTCACCCCTCCCACCAATCAATTGACTTTAGCTGCATGGGGTGGGGATGGGGCGCAGGACTACAGATATATAAGTGGAAAAGCTGAGAGGCGAGTCCCCTCGCCATTTTGTGCTGAGAGAGATCACAAGATCTATGCTTGGATGTGGACTTTCTAGCGTGGCCTTAAATGGGGGGGGGTGCGCACTCTTCTGTAAGTAGCCCCCACCCCCCTGCTCTGTTAGTAACCCCAATAAATTCTCTAGGATTTTCCAAACTGCGGTTTTGGAGAATTTGTACCTCATTTTGTTGTAGGATCAAGGGCAGAGAGAGCCGGACTTTGTTAGTGCCTCCCAGGAGGAATTCTAGCAACACCAAAGCTTCTTCAGGCCTCCTTCTCCAGGCCAAACTGTCCCAGTAGGTGATCGTGAACAGTTCCTCACCTCCTCTGGCTTTGTTTCTCCACCAGGAAAAGGTGAAAGCATGTCCTTCTGTCACATGACTCTCCCCATTCACGGAGTTCTAATTTGGCAAGCAGTGGGGTCCATGAGAAAGGAGAGTAAGACAAAGACTGTCCTGTAAGAGCCTCATCTTTGCCATTTTTTTCAAGCTCTTGATTTCCAGTATACACCTCCGCCAAGCTACAGAAATGGGACTATTACAGAACATGAAAGCTCAGTTTCCTCTCTCTCCCCTTTTCAGACACTGGCAAGCCAGATTTTGATGGGCTTGATGTGGTGGCACCACTACCCGCTCCTTCCTTAACTGGGGACAGATGCCCCATAACCTTCAAGAGAAGAGCCAGACCTATCCCCGCCACCGCCCTGGTAACACTGGCCATAAGAGCCTCAAAGTCCTCCCAGCAGCAGCCATGTACACTTTCCTGCCTGACAATTTCTCACCTGCCAAAACCAAGCCCACCAAAGAGCTGCGGCCCCTGCTGGGCTCCGCGGTACTGGGGCTGCTGCTGGTGCTGGCGGCGGTTGTGGCCTGGTGCTACTATAGCGCCTCCCTACGCAAAGCGGAACGTCTGCGCGCGGAGCTACTGGACCTCAACTGTGGCGGCTTCTCCATCCGGAACCAGAAGGGCGAGCAGGTCTTCCGCTTGGCCTTCCGCTCCGGCGCGCTGGACCTCGACTCCTGCAGCCGTGAGGGTGCGCTGCTTGGCTGCTCGCGCACGGCGGATGGCCGCCCACTGCACTTCTTCATCCAGACTGTGCGGCCCAAGGACACAGTCATGTGCTACCGAGTGCGCTGGGAGGAAGCTTCACTCGGGCTTGCGGTGGAGCACGCAATGTTTCTGGGCGATGCATCCGCGCACTGGTATGGTGGCGCAGAGATGAGGACACAGCACTGGCCCATCCGCCTGGACGGCCAGCAAGAGCCGCAGCCGTTTGTCACAAGCGACGTCTACTCTTCTGATGCCTCATTCGGGGGCATTCTTGAGCGCTATTGGCTATCTTCGCGCGCAGCCGCCATCAAAGTCAACGATTCGGTGCCCTTCCACTTGGGCTGGAACAGCACCGAGCGTTCGATGCGGTTGCAAGCACGCTACCACGACACCTCATACAAGCCACCGGCTGGCCGCATTGCAGCACCAGAGCTCAGTTATCGCGTGTGCGTGGGCTCAGATGTCACCTCCATCCACAAGTACATGGTTCGGCGTTACTTCAACAAACCGTCCAGGGTGCCAGCGGCTGAGATCTTCCGAGACCCCATTTGGTCCACGTGGGCGCTGTATGGGCGTGCTGTGGACCAGGACAAGGTGCTACATTTTGCTCAGCAGATCCGTCAGCACCGCTTCAACAGCAGCCACCTCGAAATCGATGACATGTACACGTCTACCTATGGCGACTTCGATTTCGACCAGGCCAAGTTCCCCAACGCCACTGACATGTTCCACCGCCTGCGAGATGCTGGCTTCCGCGTCACTCTCTGGGTGCATCCCTTCGTTAACTACAACTCCTCGCGCTTTGGTGAGGGCGTGGAGCGCGAGCTGTTCGTGCGCGAGCCCACTGGCCGGCTGCCCGCGCTAGTGCGCTGGTGGAATGGCATTGGCGGGGTGCTGGACTTTACGCGCCCAGAGGCCCGAGATTGGTTCCAGGGACACCTGCGGCGCCTGCGCTCAGGCTACAACGTGGCCTCCTTTAAGTTTGACGCGGGTGAGGTCAGCTACCTGCCAAGGGACTTCAGCACCTACAAGCCCCTGTCGGACCCCAGCGTGTGGAGCCGGAGGTACACTGAGATGGCGCTGCCCTTCTTCTCGCTGGCGGAGGTCCGTGTGGGCTACCAGTCACAGAACATCTCCTGCTTTTTCCGGCTGGTGGACCGCGACTCGGTTTGGGGCTATGACCTGGGGCTGCGCTCTCTCATTCCTGCTGTGCTCACCGTCAGTATGCTGGGCTATCCATTCATCCTGCCTGACATGGTGGGCGGCAACGCGGTGCCCGGGCGCACAGTGGGCAGGGAAGATGGACCGGGGCCGGAGCGTGAGCTCTATGTGCGCTGGCTGGAGGTGGCGGCCTTCATGCCTGCCATGCAGTTTTCGATCCCGCCCTGGCAATACGATGCAGAAGTGGTGGCCATTGCACACAAGTTCGCTGCACTGAGGGCTTCGCTTGTGGCACCACTACTGCTTGAACTAGCTGGTGAGGTCACTGACACTGGTGACCCCATCGTACGTCCCCTATGGTGGATTGCTCCTGGGGATGAGACGGCTCACCGCATTGACTCACAGTTCCTTATTGGGGACACATTGCTCGTGGCGCCAGTGCTGGAGCCAGGCAAGCAGGAGCGTGATGTCTATCTGCCTGCAGGCAAGTGGCGCAGCTACAAGGGTGAGCTTTTTGACAAGACCCCAGTGCTGCTCACTGATTACCCTGTCGACCTGGATGAGGTCGCCTACTTCATCTGGGCGTCCTAACCCGGCTCAGGACCCGACAACCCCACAGCCCTAACCCCAGCTTTTATGAAGACTTAATACTTTACCCTACCTGAACCGTGTACTCTCAGGAAGTCCCCACATCCATACCGAGTAGTAAGTGGACACCGATTCACAAGTGCTCCAGCCAGTAGCTGTAGGTGGGGCCTGGAAGGTTCAGTGCTGAAGCATCCTCCTGCTCCAATGCATAATCCTAACAGCCTCTTTTCCTTCCACACTCACTCCAGTCTGCAGAAACCTTCCTTGTAATGGAAACCAGAGAACTTGGAGGACAAAGTTCTGTTACACGGGGTCTGGTTTTAGAACTACAGAGACAAGAAACCTCTCCTCCCCCTGGCCTTTATAGCCATCTTTGTCCTATGATGAAGACCCATCCTCTTTAAAAGTTACCAAATATGGCAGGCGTGGTGGCCACGCCTTTAATCCCAGCACTTGGGAGGCAGAGGCAGGCGGATCTTTGTGAGTTCGAGGCCAGCCTGGTCTACATAATGAGTTCCAGGACAGCTGGGGCTACAAGGAGACCCTGTCTCAAAAAAACTTCAAAAAAAAAAAAAGTTACCAAATAGTGGGGCCTGGTGGTATATGCCTTTAATCCCAGCACTCAGGAGGCAGAGGCAAGTAGATCTCTGTGAGTTCAAGGACAGCCTGATCTACATAGGGAGTTCCAAGCCAGCTGGGGCTACAGAGAGACCTGACTCAAAAAGATTTAAAAAAAAAAAAAAAAACAGGTGGTGGTGGTACAGGCCTTTAATCCCAGCACTTGAGGCAGAGGCAGGCAGATCTCTGTGAATTCAAGGCCAGCCTGGTCTACATAGTGAGTTCCAGGCCAGGTGGGGCTGCAGGGAGACCCTGTCTCAATAAGTAAAGAAAAAAAAAAATAATAAAGTTCCCAAATAGTCTCTGGCACTGTTCTCTGGCACTGTTAGAAAGTATAATTTCTTGGTGATAAAAAGTCAGGCCTTGAGTTCCCACACATACCTGAACAATGATTGACCTGGTTCCACTCCAACTGGGGAAGAAAGGATAGAGATATTTGGTTTGGCCAGCTGACAAGGAAGCAAAAAGTAAGTGTCTTCTAGGGAATATGAGGACTGGGCTCAGTCTGGAGTGATTGCCATTGCCCTCTGTGAAGAGACTCCTAACATTGCACTAGCCCATTTGTGTACCTATGTGGGCTCAGTGCTGGGCTCAGCCCTGGCCTACTTGTGCGTAATGGGCAGACTTGCAGGGCCATGCAGGCCAGACTTGGTGCCTTAATTCAAGAACCTGTGTGTATGCCTCTGTGTGTGTGTGTGTGTGTGTGTGTGTGTGTGTGTCTGAGAGAATGGTGCCAACCTTGAGTCTGGGTCTGAGAGAATGGTGCCAACCTCAAGTCTCTGAATCTAAAATGCACAGAATATCCCTGAGGCTTAGACAGGCCTAGAGGGAGGACAGGAGGGCAAGCTTGAGACTTTGATTGCTGAGCTAGCCCCCTCCCAATTAGATTCCCTGGGGCTATGGTAGGAAATAAACAGCCCTTTCCAGATGGCTTAGCTGTCTCACTCTTCTCACATGCTCAGGTGTGGTAAAAAAGTGAGCAATGTTCTTATTCTGGCAGTGGTATACTTGTCACACGAGTGACATCACACAGCGACACCTGCCAATACACATATGGGGTAAGATCTTTTATCTTGGTCATTTTCCCTTTCTAAAAAAATCAACCCCAGCCAGAATGAATTGTCCTGACTTTATAGCCAAGTCTAGGGAAGAAGGTAGTGCTCAGCTTCCCTCAGCAGCTCTGACAACAGAGCCAGTGCCCTAATCCTCCCACCCCAGAATGCCTCTTTGCCCACTTTCCCACCCTCTTTATTTTCTCAGGGTAGGAAGTACCCAATGAAAGCTTTGGGACTCCTACAGGTGCCTATTGCCAGTGCCAAGTCCTGTTTCCTTTTCTTGGCAATGTTGAGGATAGAACCCAGGACCCCAAGCATAATTAAGCAAGCACTCTTCCAATGAGCTACATCCCGTCTTCATTTGTCAATGAGCTATGTGACCTGAATAAGCTGCTTAACCAAGCCTCAGTTTTTTTCTATGTAAAAGTGATGATTAATACCTACCTCCAAGGTCATTGTAATAATAAGCACAGATGTATGGGAAGTGCCTGGCATAAAGTAGGTGCTCAATAAAACATAGCTATTATAATAATATTTTTTGCTTTCTTGCTTTAAAACAAGGATTCTTTGTGACTCTATATCCCAGCCCCCTCCAGCTTTGTCCTGTCCTCCAGCCTTGCCAGTACCTCTTGTGCAGTCCAAATTTGTCTTGCTCCCTGCACACTGAATCTGGGGAGCCTGACACTACTCTAAAGACTTCCAGTAGCCTTGTAGCCACAATTCATTGGTCTCCCCTGCACCTAATCTGTTGAGGGGTGACAATGGGGAATTCCCTTCTCTCGAGGTAATGGGGAGGGTCTGAATGGCCACTGAAGGAAATGTGGGGCAGGGGTCTAGGCTCCTATTCTGTGATCTTGTATCTCTGAGAGTCTGCCTCAGTTTTTTTTTCCAACTCCAAGCTTTCTCTCTGAGCCCAAGATGTTTTCTAAAATAATTTTGGTCTCTATTCCCCCAGATCTGAGTAAAATATCTCTGACTCTTGCTTGGGCTCCAGGGCAAGCCTTCTGCTAGTTGTCCTCACTAAGCACCCAGGACCCTTCTCCCTCCCCAAGTCCAGGGCTAGCACTGGCCTCTCCATCCTTTCCCCACTATTGTAAAGTAGACAAAGGCTGTTTTTACAAAAAGCAGAACTAAAAAGCTCAGTATCTGCCTCCATTTTGCACCTGTTTCCTTTGCTCTCTTACAATTACTGGATTCCAGGAACAATAGATCTCATGGAAAAACATCTGTGACAAAGATCAAAACTACATCTACCCCGAGGCAACTGCAACTTTCTTGTTGTGGACCATGCCTTTCGAGATCAATCCTAGATAATGATCAACCAGACTATAATTTGACCAAGGCTGATTAACTGTGCAATGCTTCTTGCCCCTGCTTTTGTCCCTTCCCTATGTATTACGGAAGCTCCTGTCAGCGCCTCTATGGACAGCGCTGAGGACATGGGTCCCCTCATCTTCCTGGAATAGTTACACTGATTCAAGTTGCCTTCCTGCTTTTCGAGCCAGACTTGACTTGTTAGGATCCCTAGCGTCTGGCCTCTGGTCTAGGACCCCAGCAATAGTATCCCATATCAGACCTTATTGGCCTCATTCCACTGGTGGACCCTCAAGTCCAATCCACACAGCATGTCTACAATCATACCACCCTAAACATGCTTAATCTTGTCCAATCCACAGCAGCCAAGGAGAACTTTCCAAAGTTCAATCATGTCCCTTGAGGGTGGGGAGAGTCCAAGCTTTCTCTGGAGTTCAAGGTTTCTAAGATCTGATCCTTCTCTGTCTCTCTTTCACTCATGTACTCACATATATGCAAGCATATTTTTTTAAAAGCATTTGAAGAAACACTACCCTCTATTCTGGGAAAGGCTGTACAACCATTCCTTGCCAGAAGAGTCTGCTCTGACAGCCTTGAAGGAAAATGCAATGGTAATTGGGTGGTTTCCTTTCCTGCCATTGTTTGACTCCATGGGTTTCTTTCTGTTGACACCCTCCCCTCCCCAGTATGCACCCTAGCTCCCAAGGCAAAACCTACTTTTTAATCTTAAAGTTAATTATTTACTTCAGTATGCCCAAGGATCTTTTCCAGTAGCTTGATAGGTGAGATAGCTGGCCTTAGTTTGACTCTAGGTGGCACTGGGGGAGATATGAGAAACACACAGGAGGCCCTATTCCTGGGTGTTCTCTATCTTGAGGATAAAGAGGATACCCCTGTGAGGGGTATCTTTGGGGGCTGTTTTTCCCTCCCAGGCACCTTCCCCATTCCCTATTACACAACCCTGAGCAGGATGAGGGGGAAGCAGAAGACAGGAGGCACAGTTCTAACTGCCTACCTATAGGACAGCCTCAAGGGGGCAGCAGCAGGAAGCTGGCATGTCTGCTAGCCCTCACCTAGTGAAGAACTGGGTTAGGCCAAAAAGGCTAGATAACTGGAGAGGTCAGCCTGTACTCCTCAAACATGAATGCCTCACCTGGGTCCCTCACCTGCATGAAATTTCAACAGAAATTCTGTTATGACTTCATTCCTTTAGGTCTTCATTTCAGCAAACAAGTGCCTTCTATGGAGACAGTTTTTAAGATCAAGAGGGCATTTTGATTTCCTAGAACCTCTATTATATGTCTATTATATGTCCTAGGAAAGGTAAAAAAAACTATAATAATCAAGATAATGTGGTGCTAGTGTTAAGATAGATATATAATGCAGGGATGTGAGCTGTATCAGTAGGTGAAAGTACTTTTCAAGCAAGCTTGATGACCAGAGTTCAATCCCAAGAACTCACATAAAGGTCGAAGGAAAGAACATACTCCACAAAGTTGTCCTCTGACCTCCACACATATATCATACACACACATACACGATAATAATAACTTTTTTGGAGACAGGATCTCCCTGTAGTCCCAGCTGGCCTAGAACTATGTAGACCAGGCTTGCCTGGGTCTCACAGAGATCCGCCTTCTTCTGTCTCCCCAGTGCTGGAATTAAAGGTGTGGGCCACCACCCCTGGCTTAAATTTTTTAAATTTAAAAAGCTAGAACTAAGGGCTGTTGAAATGGCTCAGAAGTTAAGAACACTTGATACTCTTGCAGAGGACCAGGGTTCAGTTCCTAGTACCCACACAGTGGCTCACAACTGCATGACTCCAGTTCCAGGGGATCTGATGCCTTCTTGTGGCTTCTGTGGTGTTGCACACTTGGGCACACACACATACACACTGATAGATTTTTTTTTTCTTTTTGAGACAGGGTCTCCCTGTAGCTTCAGCTGTCCTGGAACTTGCTATGTAGACCAGGCTGGCCTCGAACTCACAAAGATTTGCCTTCCTCTGCCTCCCAAGTGCTGGAATTAAAAGCGTGTGCCAGCTTGTCCGGCTTAAATAAATAATTTAAAAGATCATCTGGTCCAACTCCTTTGTCTTCCTGAAGAAAATGAGACCTGAAGAGGTGAGACTGCCAAAGGTGACATCAGGAAGATGACATCAAAATGTTGACAGCAGATGTCACTCCAGACCTGCACTCCATCTGTGACACAGTGCATATGAGAAAAGGAGGGAGGAAAAGCTGGGGCCAAAGGCTAAGTAAATTGATCATATTGGGAGGAAGGCTAGGGTATCCCTGTGCTAAAGGTTGAACATCAAAACAAGGTAGAGATAAGAAGGAGCAACTTCCTATAGGCAAGATGAGTGTAGAGGGTGAGAAAGCAGCTGTAAGATGAACAGAGCCCAGACATTTCTGAGAATCTTCCAAAAGTTTTGCAGAACTTTAGGAGCCATAAAAATGACTAAAATGATTAAAGAAAGGCATCTCAAACTAGAAACTATTCTTTAAAATTAGCCTTCCCCAAGCCAAGCTCTCTTAAGACCATAAGGACTGTTGTTCATCTCCTGATGCCTGTAAAAAGATATGAAAGGTTTCAGTCTGTTATTTTCTTTCTTTCTTTCTTTCTTTTTCTTTCTTTCTTTCTTTCTTTCTTTCTTTCTTTCTTTCTTTCTTTCTTTCTTTCTTTCTTTCTTTTTTTAGAATCAACTTTAGGACAGAGTAGGACCTTACCCAGCACCCCGTTCTCTAAGCTTGTCCCCTAGGGAGATCTTTATGGAGTGGAAGGATCTGGTTATGTAACCCATTGAAATTCTACCCACAGAACCTGGGAAGGATTGCTCTTTAGAACTCAGAAACACTGAGAACCAGAGGGTAGCAAAAAGGCTGGGGTTGTAGGGCCCCCCATTTCAGATTAATTCTGACTAGCCCTGTTTTCTGGAAACTTTCAACATCTTTCAGCATCTCCTGAGCTAAGACAATTCTGAAGTCTCTGAGGCCTGGGCTAACAAGTGGCACCAGCAGAATGCTGCCCTGACAACTGAGGTATGGTGCAGGCAAGACAGGTGGGCTTTCCAGTGATTTGAGTTCAGATTGAACAAGTCCAGCTAGCTGAAAGGAAAGTGGTGATGATGGTAAAGACTACTTACTGCCATGTCTCATCTCAGCTCCATTCTCTCCACCTCATTCACCTCTCACAGCATGCCCTTGTCCCTCCCTGTTGTCAAATATTTATGCAAAGAATGCAATTAATGGGGCCCCTCTAACCCGAGTAGCTATGCTTTATTGGTTTTTCTTTCAGTTAAAAAATATTTTATTATTTTTATTTTTTGTGTGAGTGTATTGCCATCATGTATATAAGTGTACCTATGTCATGCAATGTCCGAGGAAGCCAGAAGAGGGCATTGGACTCCCCTGGTTAACTGATTGTTAACTGCTGTGTGGGTACTTGGGAATCAAACCTGGGTCCTCTGTAAGAGCAGCCAGTGCTCTTAACTGCTGAGCCATCTCTCTAGCCCCTGGTTTTTTGGTTGTTTTTTTTTTTTTTTGGTTTTTTTTGTTTTTTTTTTTTTTTTTTTTTAGGTATTTTTTGTTGTTTTTTGTTTTGTTTTGTTTTTGGTCTTTTTGAGACAGGGTCTCCTGTAGCCTCAGCTGGCCTGGAACTCGCCATGTAGACCAGGCTGGCCTTGAACTCACAGAGATCCACTTGCCTCTAACTCCCTCATGCTGGGATTAAAGGCCAGTGCCACAACACCTGGCCTTGAACCTATGTTTTAATGGAATACTCTAAGGAACAGAGAAATGACTCTGAAGCTATGTAAGATATTCTAATTATTACTATTATTATTTTTTTGTGTGTGTGTTCAGGCATGTGCATACCACAGCATGTGTGTAGGGGTCAGAGAACAACTTTCAGGAGCTGTTCTCTCTTTCCACCATGGGATCCAGGGATCAAACTCAGGTTGTCAGGTTTGCATAGTACGCACTTTTACTGGCTGAACCATGTCACCTGCCTTTAAGATAGTCTAAAGCAATCTTCTCTACGGTACCTCATTCTCAAAGCTTCCCATATTAGATACTGCTAGGACCAAGTACCATGACCGGCTCCTCCTTCTCCATACCTCCTCTTCTGCTGCTGCTTTTGTTGGTAGCCCAGGCTGTTGAACTAACAGCAATCCTCCTGTCTCAATTTCCCAAGTGCTTGGATTACAGATATGTGCCACCATGCCAGGATATCATCCACCCTTCTTAAAGTCTCAATTTCCCCAGCAATAAAAATGAACAGCAAAGCTGGGTGTGGTGGCGCACACCTGTAGTCCCAGCACTTGGGAGGCAGAGGCAAGCCGATCTCTGTGAGTTCAAGGCCAGCCTGGTCTATATAGTGAGTTCCAGGCTAGCGGGGGTTGCAGGTCTAAAAAAAAAAAAAAAAAAAAAAAAAAAGAACAGCAAAATCAGGTCATTTTCCAGGTCTCTTCCAACTTTGATGTATGTTTTAGTTATCAGATTCCAGTCTCCCATTCTTCGAGCACAGGGCTGGCCAGCCTTGTTAAGAGGCAGCTTGTCTGTGGTTTGGCACCACTGCCCAGCAGGCATTTATTAAATCAGTGGGATGTGGTCCCTGCTGGCCTAGAAGAGAACATTAAGCTCCAAAAACTTCCTGCAGCAGGCCTCCTTTGGAGAGTGCTGCTCAGAGGGGCAAGGAACAAAACCATTTAGGTCCTTGGCTGTGCTCCAAGATCCTATTCACTAGTACTTCTGCCCTGTCTGCACGGAGAACCAGTGACTAGAAACATCTGGAAGCCTGCTTAAGATGGGACTTTGCTCTCCTTCCTTTGGGGTGGCTGTTTTTGACTGGTAATCCACGTTGACCTTTGCCAATGCACCTTCCCCTCCAATCTTCTGCACCTCATTGGGCAACAGCCCTCTAATAAAATCCACATGAACCCAGCTGCTAACAGCTCCTGGAAAGGCCCTAAGAACTAACACCTGCCTCTGCATTCCTTGAGCCCTAGTAGCAAGGGAAAAGAAGGCTGAGACCCGACTCCTACACTTCTAGGTCGTTCAGTGGAGTTGTGGAGAAAGGAAACAGGCAGAGGTTGGAAGAAACCGCAATGTGAGTCTGCTGAAAGCAGGGAAAGCTGGGCTGGGTGAGGAATGCACAGGTGCAGTGATGTGGCTGTTTGGGGAGCTCAGCAGAGCTTGTGAAGTTGGGCTTGCCTCATTCACTATGTCAGTCATGTATCAAAGTTTTTTATTCTCAGAGACAGGCATGTGATCAGAGGTTAGATGGTCCTGTGTTGCCTGTCCCCACCCCATCTCTGTTTTGACCCAGGGAGCCCAAAGTTCATTAGATCTGTATTTAAAAAAATATTTACTCTGTGAGTTCGAGGTCAGCCTGATCTACATAGCAAGTTTCAGGCCAGCTGGGGCTATAGGACGATCCTGTCTCAAAAAGGTTAAAAAAAAAATTTACATTGGGTATGGTGGTTCATGCCTTATCCCAGTACTCAGGAGGCAGAGGCAAGGAGATCTCTTAGTTCAAGACCACCCTGGTCTACATAGTGAGTTCCAGGCTAGCTGGGGCTACAGGGAGATCCTGTCTCAAAAAGCCCCCCCCCAAAAAAATATCTAAGCACCTACAAAGTAGGTACGTGCTAGAAAGATCTGTGAATGAAACAATGTGCAATTCAGTTCCACTCACTTGGAAATCCTGACTATGGGTGTCTTGGACATGGGGAGGGTGCTTGGAGTTGCAGAAATAGAATGTGCTGGTCTCTTCCAGTCTCATTCTCTAGCCCTTAGCTTTTTGGAACATAGTATTTGGACGCAGGATTTCCTCTGGTCAACACAAGTCAGGATGGCCAAGTGGTCTAAGGACCACTGGTTAAGTTCCCTCTGGTTAAGTTCAGAGCTCTAATTCACTTTAGTTTTCTTCTTCACCAATGGCAAGAGTCCAAGAAATAAACACACAGGTTAAAGGGCAGATAAGCCACTTGAGGTTTATTTATAAACTACAAAGATGTACTTAAACTGGGCCTGCTATTTTTAAATTTTTACTCCTCCTTTGCCTTTTCACTTAGCTAAAATTCTTGCTGGCTCTTTAAATTTTTTTTTTTTCTCCTATGCCAGGGATTGAATTCTGGGCTTCCTTGCTCTCATCTAAGTCCTGAGCTGATTTCTCTAACCTGTCTGTTCTTGGCTCTAATAAGCCATGGTGGGTTCATCTCAGAAGGCCCTTCAGGATGCTACGTAAGCAAATGACTGTTCTAGTCAACTCAGGCTGGTGTGGAGCAGAGAAACTGGTGTCCTTCTTGGAGTGCTGCCTTCATCTCCTTGAACTGAGCCAATTGGCAGGCCTCATCCAGCCCTAGCCAGCGGTAGGCTTGGTGCTCCTGGGAGAGGCGGATCTTTATGTCGTAGTCTTTCACCTCTGCCAGCCAGTAAATGACTGTTTTAGGCTTCTTTCTGGCCACATAATTGAGCTCCTTTTTGAACCCCTCAATGATGGTCAGCTGGCTTGCCTCTATGCCTGCTTCCTCTTGAGTCTCCCTCAGGGCTGTTTCTAAGTCATTCTCTCCCAGGTCCACGTGGCCTAGTTAGGAGAAGAAAAGAAGAAATCTTCAGTAGTCCCCAAAACTGGATTTTTCCCAGGCAGATGATTTAGAGACTGGGTCTTTGGTGATTTTTCTAGAAGTTCCTGGGCTAAAGGAAGTCTGGAGATGGGCAACATCTTAACATGCCTAGGAAGGGGTATAAGACAGGCAAGGTCTATTTCTAGGAGTCTGAGCAATCCCCTCTTCCTACTCCATCTACTCTGTACAGAGTGAAACAAATCGTGTATTTGGCAAGTCAGGTTTAGAATACTGCCTTTATTTTCTGCTGTGCTGGACATTAAACTTAGGGCTTTGTGCATAGTAGGTAGGCACACTGTCACTAAGCTACATCTCCACCCCATAATATTGACTTCGGACGTTGAGGTGGCTTCCTTCACATTTCTGCTTTTTTATTCTTTTTGAGTTTTCTCCATCCATTGTTCTCAGGAACCACTTTTCCCTTACAAACCTTAAAGTCATTTTTACAAGGAAGCCAGAGCTTCTTGGCAAAGTGGGGACTAGCTGAACAGGGGGTTCTTTGCCTACAGACCAGTGAGGACTTAACACTCTACAGTAAACAGACTCAAACCCTGCAGCGCTGCACCAGCAGCTGTTTCCAAGTAGCCATCAAGGCTTTTTCAAATTGTTTTCATCTTCCTAACTGAGCAAGGCCAGATTTCAGTTTCATAGGGAAAGCCTGATGGGAACTTAAGACTAAGGACAAGCTCAGAGCCAGTTCTAAGAAAATGTGTTGGCAAGACCCAAATCCAAGCAGACAGCTGCCAAGAAACTGTTGTGACAGAACTTGAAGCTCTGCAGACTATAGCGGCCCTCAGCTTTACCCCTAGGCCTTTCCCACAAATTCTTAGTGTCCCAGAAGTCCCAAAAGCAGTTGGGAGGGTTCTGGTAACTTGTATTTACTCATGACTCTGGCAAGTTGCTGGGGGGCCTTCCTGGTTCAGGAGCTCATAGGGAGCCAGGAACTTTTAGCTGTTCCCTACTTGGCCTGGAAGTGGAGCTACACACTTCCTAGGGCTCTGCACAGCAATGCCCTAAGTAAGTTGCTGAATAGAAAATACTAGGACCTTAGCACTTAAAGAACCCATTCTAGCCCCTGGCTTCTGGGGAATTTTCTCTGCATAGCGCCTCCTATAATGTAGACAAAGACACATAGGTAATGCACTGAAAAGGTAAAGTAATAGGGATGCTGGTGATGACAGGATACACTGATTCAGGATGACCCTTTCCTCCCAGCTGTGTAGGAATCTCTAGGTACACCCCCTCCCAGGAACATCTATTCAGCCTTCTGACTATTAATGACGGCAGGGTAATTCCATCCCAAGCCTAAGCAGGAAATGATTAGGTGAGTTCCTTTAACATCCTTTAGTGAGAGGAACCAGCAGTGAGAGTTGGGTGATCAGGAGGTTAAGTGTGAATATTCCTATTCAAAGTATTTGTAACACTTCTCTTTTTCACGTTGTTTCTTCCTAGTGCAACTCAAATGTGCAAAAATTAATTTTGTCACCATTTCCTTGTTTTCTTCCAGCTTTAGATCTATATCCATGCCCCTCCAACCTACTTTCTATTCTATCTGTCCCGGGCTATTTACTCTGTGCTCCTCATCCCAGTAAGTACCAAAGACAGTCTATTCTTGCTCACTGGAAACATCCCAATGGCCTCAATAAGGATGATTTCCTTTCTCTTTCTTTCCTCCCTTTCCCTTTCTTTTTCCTCTTCCCTATCCCATTTCCCCTTCCCCTCCCTTTCCCTCCCTTCTCTCCCTCCCTCCCTCCCTCCCTCCCTTCCTTCTTTTCTTCCTTCCTCTGAAGCAGAGTTGGGTTTAATAAAGATATTTCAGGGTTGGAGAGATGGCTCAGCAGCTAAGAACATTGGCTGCTCTTGCATAGGACCCAGGTTCGGTTCCCAGCACCCACTGGTGGCTTACAACTACCAGTAACTCCAGTTCCAAGGGATCTGATGCCCTCCTCTGGCCTTCATGGGCACCAGGCACCCATGTGTATACATATAAAAATACATGCAAGCAAAACACTTATATACATAAAAGACTCAAATATTTATTTATTTATTTATTTATTTAGTTAGTTAGTTAGTTAGTTAGTTAGTTAGTTAGTTTAGTTCTTTTGTCTTTTTGAGACAGGGTCTCTCTGTAGCCCCAGCTGTCCTGGAACTCACTATGTAGACCTTGAACTCAGAGAGATCTGCCTGCCTCTGCCTCAGGAGTGCTGGGATTAAAGGCATGTGCCACCATGCCTGGCCTGACCCAAATCTTTTATCTTTTTTAAGAGCATCCGAGGGATCTTTTGTACTCCTAAAGACAGCATCCAGGGTGCTAGTAGATGAAAATTCACCAGCTCACAAACACATTTTCGCCACGTCTAAAGCTCCAGGCCACTAGTCTTCAATGTTTTGCCTTCTGAAGACCTGAGCAATGCTACCCTGGCTTCTGAATGAGGAACCCAGGGAAAAGGTGGCTGCTTGGGCTGCAAAGTCTCCATGATTCTCACAGCCTCTTGGTCTGAGAAGGACTCTCTCATTCTCACTCTTTCATTTCTGCCAGAATATGCAGATGAATCTATAATTAGAGACTCCGTCTTCGCTGTGCTTCTAATAGAGGCCAAAATGCAACTATAATCAGGAATACTCCAGAAGTCACACTCTCTGGGTTCAAAAGAGAAAACCCAAGTGATTGGAACACTGAACAAAGAGTCAAAGGAACTTGATCAAATGAAATCAGAGAAAGGGTAGGAAGAAAACTTGGGATTTTTAAGTAAACCTCTACTTTGATAGATGAAAAACTCAAAGCTCAGAAAGGTGGGCACATAGCCAACTCATGACTCAATTTCAACATCCCTCATTCACAGCCAAGTGGATTTCCCCTAGCCAGTCACTCACCACAGGGGCTGAAGCTCTGGAAAGTGATTTAAAAAAAAGCAGCTGCAGATGCTGTGTGTCTGCCTTGGGTCAGTCACAGAATAAGATTTCTAGCTCTGCACTTGCCTGGAGACCTTAGACATAGAAAGATCAAGGACTCCTGCCTAACCCACCTCCTCCTGCTGTACAGTCACTAGAAAACAAGCCTTGTAGGGGGCCTGGCAGGGTGAATTCCAGAGCCAAGCTTGGCATTTCCCCAAAAGCCAACCCCTCTGTCCCTGTACCTTTGGGAGGAGTCCAGTGATGAATGCCATCTGATGCCTGTAGCAATAGAAACTCAATTGTACTGTTGTCTACCTTGGGAGTAAGGCGTCTCCGGAAGACGATCAAGCCACATGCCCTCAGGGCCATGATGTATCTAAGAAGTTAAAAAGAAGGTAAGAGGCATTAGGAAGTTAAACAAAAGGGGAGGGTGCACACTGGGAAGGGACAGGAAGGGGGACACTCTGGTACTGGAAAACAGCAAGGACTAGCTAACAGTGATCTCATAACCCACAGAAAAAGGCAGCATGCCAAGAAATGGAGAGGAATCCAGGAACCAGAGACAGAACTTTGTAACTACAGGACTCTGGTAACTACCCAGTCGAGGGGTCTCTACCACCAAGGCTCTATGTCTCCCTGTAAAACTCTGAGCTGGAGTGTTTTTGTTTTTGTTTTAATATTTTATTTATTATTTTTATTTTATGTGTATGAGTATATTGCTTGCATGTAAGTGAACGCACCCGTGTTGTGCAATGCCGCAGAGGTCAGAAGAGGGCTATGGATTCCCCTGGTACTGGAGTTAAGGACGGTTTGTAGCCGCCATGTGGGTGCTGGGAATTGAATCCGCATCCTCTGTAAGAGCAGTCAGTGCTCTTAACCACTGAGCCATCTCTCCAGCCCCCTGGAGTGTATCTGTTATGAGACTGGAGAGACTCAGAAACAAACACACTGAAATGGAAGAAATGCTAGAATTGGGAGAAATGGAGTAGAAGTATTATCAGCTAACCCATAATCCCATTTCCTTTAACCTATATCCTGAACCCCTGAAGCAGAGACCCCAATAATGTGGTTTCTGATGATTCAGTGGGGTCATCTAGATAATCTGGTGCACCAGAACACTTTTTGTTGATTTTTTTTAGTCTTGTATTCATGTCTAGTACGTTATATGGTCAAAATGCAAAGTAAAAAAGGGCAGAAATAGGAAGTCTCTTTTGCACTCCAGCAGAGGCAAATTATATGACTTAATTTTATAAAGTACATTAGAACAGTGCCAGCAGGGTGTGGTAGCACACACCTTTAGTCCCACCACTCGGGAGGCAGAGGCGGGTGGATCTCTATGAGTTCAAGGCCATAGTGAGTTCCAGGACAGCTGGGGCTACAGGAACACCTGTCTCAAAAAGACCAAAAAACAAAAACAGAAACAAAAACAAAAATATTAGAGCAATGCCTGGCACATACTAAGAACTCAACAGATTTCTATATGTGTAGAAAAATGTTTGGAAGGGGGCCGGTGAGATAGCTCAAGGGGTAAAGTACTTACATAAGCCTGACAACCTGAGTTTGATCCCCAGAACCCTTGGAAAGAATCAACTCCAGAAAAGTTGTCCTCTGACTGCCATATATGTGCTGTACACACACACACACACACACAAAAAAAAAAAAAAAAAAAAAAACAACCAAAAAAACATTTTTTGGAAAAATATCTGGAAGGATATACATTAGTAATCCTTCTGTTTCTGGAAAACGAGATTATGGAGAGATTCTTATTTTCTACTCCACATATTTCTATTATTTGGAATTTTACCAAGAAAGTTTACTAATTTTATAATCAGCAATGCAATATTTTCTCCACTAAAAAAAAAAAAGCCAGGTGCCAAGTATAGTAGTAAAAATTTGTAAGTACAAATTTATAAGCCAAACACTTGGGAGATGGAGACAGGAAGATCATACATTTAAGGTCATCCTTTACTACTAGTGAATTTGAGGTTAGCCTGAACCATATGAGACCCTATATAAAAATCAAAACAAGGGCTGGGTATGGTAGTATATGGCTTTAATCCCAGAACTTGGGAGGCAGAAGCAGGTGGATCTCTGTGAGATTTAGGCCAACCGGGTCTAAGTGAGTTCCAGGCCAGCTGGGACTACAGGGAGACCGTATCTCAAAACAACAAAACAAACAAACAAAAAATCAAGACAATCCATCTAACACAGACGTGTCCACAAGACAATCAGATATAAATAATTCCTCATTAAGACTGTTTTCCTAGGTAGTGTCAAGTTGACATTTAAAACCAACCAGCCCACCACACAAAAGTGGAGAGAACTGCTGGGCATGGTGGCATATGCCTTTAATCCCAGCAGAGGCAGGCAACTCTCTGTGAGTTCAAGGCCAGCCTGGTCTACACAGTGAGTTCTAGGCCAGCTGGATCTACAAGGAGATTCTGTCTCAAAAATCGGTAGAATGCTTCCCTAGCATGCACAAGGCCCTAAGTTTGAACCCCAGCACTGCATAAACCTGGCATGGTGGGACATACCTGTAATTCTAGTACTCAGGAGGTAGAGGCAGGAGGATCAATTTAAGGTCATCCTCGACTACATAGAAGTTAGAGGCCAGCCTGGGCTAGAGACCCTGACTCAAAATAAACAAACAAGCCAGGAAAAAAAAAGACAAAACAAAAAAGACTAAAAAGTAGGAATATAAGTGAAAAGAAAATTCATTTGATGAATACAAAGCACCTACTATGTACAGTTTTCCCTCTGTAGTCAAGGGAGATTGTTTTTAGGCTACCCCCAAGAGATCTCAAAATCTATAGATGCTCAAATTCCTCATGAAAGATAACCCAGTATTTGCATATAATATACAGATATTCTCCTGCATACTTTAAATCATCTCTAGACAAATACAGGTACACATGTGCCGTGGCATGCATGTGGAGGTCAGAGGACACCCACATGAAAGTCAGGTGTGGTCATGCACATCTGTAACCCTAGCACTGGGGATGGAGACAGGAGGATTCCCAGAGCTTGCTGCAGCCAGTCTAGCCAACTGGTGAGCTCTGGGTTCAGTGAAAGACTCTTGCCATACAAGCCTGATGTCTTGAGTTTGATCCTAGATCCCACAGTGGAGGGAGAGAACAGATTCTAGAGAGTTGTTCTCTGACCTCCACATGCATGCACTCATATACATACACATGCACAAACACAATAATAATTTTAAAAAAAGATGAGGTGGAGAGAAACAGTGGAAGACACCCAACGTCCACCTCTGGCCTGCACACACACTTGCACATCCATGTGCACCCACATGTACACACACACACACACAGCCAATAAGGTACTTGTCACAAAGGGAAAACAACCTGACCTGAGATAGACAATCTGGCCTTTGAGATATCATGGTAGGCGTCCTGAAAAAAGGGATGTTTGAACAGAGGAACAAAAGATGAGTCAAAGGTAAGTCAGCAGAGGGAAGGAGAGGGAGAGTATAGTCCTGGTAGGGGTTAACAGCCTGAGCAAAGGTCCTAAAGTGAGATGACAGAACCAAAAGAAAGCCACCGACTCCATCCTCTGTCCCCTTGCTGTTATTCCATCAAGATGGGCTGCTAGGCTTGGTGGCACACACCTATAATCCAGCATTAAGGAGTTTGAAGCAGGTGGTTGATTACTACTTCAAGGCTAGCCTGGGTTATATAGTGAGACTGTCACAAACAAACAAAAGATGAGCTTGCAGCTGTCAAAGGCATAAAAATCAGGCCCAAACAGACACTTCTTCCAGAGCAATTCTCAGGACTGCTAGCAAATGTTATTTTAGAGGAGAGCAGCTTCTCACCAATAAACCAGACATCTTTTCTGCTCCATCCTTCTTTCCTGCTTTCCCTTTCCTTCCTTCCTTTCCTTCTTTCCTTCCTTCTCCTTTCCCTGCCTTTCTGTGGTAGTTGGTATCATAAAAAAGTCCTCATGCACACTAGGCAAGTACTTTACCACTAAGCTACCTACTCAGCCACCCAAAATCATTCTAAACTAGGGGATGGGAGAAGTTTTAAAGATTAGAAATGAGGGACTGGAGAGATGGCTCAGCAATTAAGAACACTGGCTGTTCTTGCAGAAGACCTGGGTTTGAATCCCAGCATCCACATGGCAGCTAACAACTTTCTGTAATTCCAGTTCCAGGGGATCCAACAGCCTCTTCTGTCCTCTGTGGGCATTGCACAACACAGGTGCACTTACCTACATGCAGACAGTACACACATACACATAAAAATAATAAATAAAATATTTTTTAAAATGAACTCAGCGTTTTTAAAAATATTTTATTTATTATTTTTATTTTATGTGTATGAGTGTATTGCCTGCATGTAGACTCAGCGGTTAAGAATACTAGTTGTTCTTGCAGAAGACCCATGTTCAAATCCTAGCTCCCACATGACAGCTAACAACTATCCAAAACTCCAGTTCCAGGGGATCCAATAGCCTCTTCTGTCCTCCTCGGGCTTTGCACAACAGGGGTGCATTTATCTACAAGCAGGCAATACATGCATACACATAAAAGTAAATAAAATATTTTTGAAAAACAGCAATTCCCTTTCTAGGCACTCATAAACAAAAATACAAGTTTAAGACATACACATGAAGCTGGACATGGTAGTATATGCCAGTAATCTCAACACTTGGGAGGTGGAGGCAGAAGCATCTAGAGGTCAATGTCCTCCTCAGCTACACAGTGAATTGAAAGCCAGCTTGGGCTAAATAGTGTCATTTCAAAATGATGATGATGATGATGATGATGTATACATTCACTATAATCTTGTAACATCAAAAAGAAAGGCAGAGGGGCTGAAGAGATGGCTCAGCAGTTAAGAGTATTGGCTACATGAGAGCGAGCCTAATACTATTATTTTGCTAAAAAATATAGTATTAAACTGACTACTAAGGACTTATTGTTATACCCATCTCTCAACTCTCACCAGAGAAGTTTCCCTATGCAGCAGACGGTGACTAACACAGAGAACCACAACTGGCCAACGTGCAGAGAACAAGGGGCTGCAGAGTGCTTATCCCTGAAGAGGACACCTATATCAAACTTCTGCCTCCCAAGGCTCAGTGCAGAAGAGGAGGCAGTGTAAGAGTGAGAGGTGGTAAGCAACTACAAGGAAACAAAGTTTTCCAGACAGCTGGTCAGTTACTCATAGAAATTCACTGCAATGGTGACAGCATACACAAGTCCTACCTAAGCTCAAGCCAGACAAAATCATAGCACAGATATGGGCAAGAAACCCTAACCTTACCTAACCAAGTATTGGAAACAGGTGGCTGCTGGGAAGGTGAGAGTCAGTCTTGGTTTAAGGGTGAGACTCTTAGTAGATTAACCAGGCTCCA